CATAAGCATATACGCTGCAGCGCAGGTAGCCGAATATGGACTTAAAGCATAACCGAAGAAATGTCCGTTATAATTAACAGAACCTAACATGAGAATAATGTTAGCAAAAGAGATAGACATTCAGCGTTGTTTACATACATAATTTTAACAAAACCATTATACCCTGATTTCCCATTTTCAATGGGCTCAAGGTATAAAAGAAGTATTGACGAACGTTGAAAATTGGACTTAATTGGAAGGCTCACATCGAGGCTAAGACGATTCAGCTAAAGCTTAAAACGGGGACGATGCATTGGCTCATTGGCTCATTGGTTGCAAATCGCAACTCAGCACATCGAACATGATACTGCTATACAAGCTTATACTAAAGCCCGTATGGACATATGGCATTCAAGTGACACGCTGCGCGTGTCACTCCTACGTAAAAACTCTGCACAGATTTCAAAACAAGTTGCTACGTGAATTGGTGGGTGCCTCATCCTATGTCCGGAATCCTGTGATTGGTGGGGACCTAAAGTCCCCTTCAGTCCACAAGAAGGTTCTTAGTTTCGGAGCCGGTCAATTCGACAGACTCTGCAGCCACCTCAACCGGCTGGCGACTGACCTAACAAATGAATACTGTCGTCGCAGGCTAAAAAGACTACACCTTCTGGATTTGCCCTTCAAGCCTGATTCCAACTGGAAAGTTTGGATTGATCTCCACCCACTAAACCCTCCAGCAGATTTTCACTTTGGCTTTTTTAACGCCACGTAAGTATATTAACTTGTCACCAAATTTAATCATTGTCCAAATGGACAGATTTTAAGTACTCTTACACGCTTACGTTTTATAAAAAACATAACATAATAAGAAGAAGTATAATATCTTATAAAGCGTCAAACAGGTGGCTGTCAAACAGGTGCACGGCTTACATCATTTGAAACAATACGTTGACATCCAGTATGCTCTAACCAGAGATAGTTTATTTTGGGATATCACTTTGAATAGTGTAGGGTAGAGGCTTATATACAGCGCGTCAAGTTAGTATATATAGCCATATAGACTTATGTATAATCGGCGAATCGTACATATTGTGGTCCATACTGTGTACTCAGCAAAAAAGACACTGAATAAATGCTGCTCTCGTTCTGGCCCGTCGCAGAAATTTATCAAACGCTCATGATAATGCTCAACGAAGCCATGACGACTGCCGCCGCCTGAACCAGCCAGGTCCGCAAATAGACGAGCGTATGCCTGTGGCGTTTGGTTATATGTCTTTTTGGCTGTGCCCGTGCATAAGCGGACTAGCTAATTATCTTGGGCATTCTACTTGGCCGTTCATGTAGTTCATTGTTCATTTCGATGAGTACGTTGTGTGCATTCTCTGCGAGAAGACGCGAGTTAATCAACGAGAATTCAGTGCAGATATTCGACTTGCCATGCATGCCAAGAAGAAAACGCGAGCACGTAATCGACCCAGAAACAAATGCAATCAAACAAATGAGCTCAACTCGGAGCCCGATGGAGGAGAGATCTGTGTAGGTGCTGGTGCCAATAACGTCTTAGAGCAGTTCCAGTCGGAGCCTGCCAGAGCAGAGCCTGATACCAGAGCCATAGCCCTAATACAAAAGCTTCTTCGCAAGAAACTGCTGGCCAAGGCGGACAACTCGGAGCCGTCAAATCCATCCATTGTGCAGGCAAAGACTTCTTCCCCACTGCGGAAACCTAGCGCAATGGGCAGTAAAAGCGATGATGTAAATGATCTTCTGAAGTGTATTGGAAGCAACTTGCAAAAAGGTTCAAATTCAACCAGCATTGCATCCATACTAAGTGGATATATAGTGTACAGTAGTGCATGTAGGGAATAATATATTATATAATTTCTTCTAGGTTCCACCGAGGCGGCCACCGGAGCCCTTCTTAGCCAACTGGCCGAAATGTTTAGCACGGCGCCCATGACCGATGCCGAATCATCCGATGAGGAGGCCGAATACGTGGAGTACATATACAGGCCACGCCAATATTTTATGACATCATTGTGCAACGTAAGTGCATCCATTCCCCAGCAGCTCGGCCGACTGAAATAAAATCATCGACCTTCACAGCATTGCAAATTGGATCTGTGCGGGCGCCAGGCGATTCCATGCAAAGACTGTGCAATGGTTTATTACTGCACCGTCCTGCACATGCGGGACGATCAGGAGCACCGCCAGCTATGCTGCGGCCTGCGCCAAGTAGTAGAGCGACAGGGCCATGACATTTTCTACAAGTGTGGAGACTTCAGTGCCGAGCAGTTCCGATCGTACCGCATCGTGTGCATACGTCAAGTGGAGCAGGCGATCAACCGATCATTAACCCCCACGGAACAGGAAGTATTGCTCTTTCCGTTCATCTGTGGCCATGCAAAGTGCCGGGAGCACAAATTTAAAAGGCTAGCCGCATGCGCGCAGTGCGGCGAGGTTGCCTTTTGCAAGGACAAGCAGGATCATCTGAGCGTCGGCCATGCCGAGTGGTGCAGCGCCTACAAGCTGTTTAAAGCATTTGTGATGTTTCAGGCAAAGTTTGGACGCGTGGAGCCTCCTTTGCCCGACAAGGTGCTGCGGGAGGCGCCTAGCTTCTGCTCAGACACCAGGCAAATACTAAAAAAGCTAAATTGCAGTAAGTGAATGAACGTACTTTTTGAAATCCTAGAAATTCAATGCTTCATTCTCTAGATGTGGTTGACGGGTGCGAATTTGCGGCGTTGACACAAGTATCCACTGGACCGCTGACAGCATTTTTTGCTCTTAAGATTTGCGGACTTCTGGGAGCCAAGCAGCTTACAATACATCTCATCGGAGCTGAAATGGAGTTCGAAGTGGACGTATTTCAGAAATGGGAGATTTTCCTGCTGCACACTTTACCAGCACTTAAAACCTTGCATATCGTATTCATTGGACCAGAACTTAATCCTAATAATATATCATTCGATCAATTATCTACGATTAGGTTGAGTGCATTTGACTTCAATGCAAACGAAATGTTCATCCTCTTTTTTGATTTCAGATGCTGTCGTTTATGTCGAAAATCAGAACGCACCATACAATACCATTTTGAAAATCGTCTTTATCATGACTATTACTCGGAGCCTGATTTTTTAAAGCCGGACTTAGGTAATCAGTGGAAGACTACAGTTATCTTGATTGCTTATACTTTATGTATTTGTAGTTAGTATTTTAGTGTTTTACGTAAGGTTGAGGTTATTTAGAACTAAAGTAATAAGTATTTATGCATATGAGATATTTATAATTCTGAGCTTTGTTAATTTACAGTCTGTTTCTTCAATCCGGGCCTATATCGGGCTACAGGCTACGCCTTGGAAGACACCTGGCCTGAAACTATTCGGGCGACGTTGAATATAAAATGCCCTATTGTCGTCACATCATATACTAAGTACGAAGCGCCACTAGATTTGAGTCAGTTTCTAAATCAATCTAATCGCCACTTAACAGTGGTACTTCCGCCTACTACAAATCCCTTTTGTTCGGAGAAGCCGGAACGGAATTTTATATCGGACGATGATTCGCCTTTTATGTTCAAAAACTATCAGTGTTTCGTTGTTGAGTAGGTTCGTACGTTACTCTTGTTGTTTATCTATCTGAATAAAAGTACTCTTTATCGATTTTAAAGTAACTAGCTCTGTACATTGTGATGGATTTCTGTTTGATTTGAGTTAACTTTCTGTACGTACATACATCGACAGCAAGTGCGAGATACTGTTTCAAATTTTTGTTTTATGTGTCAAGCCAGTTAAAAGTAAAAAATTAAAAAAAAAGGTATGTTTTCACTCACTATTTACGATTGTTAAAAAAATTGCGAATTTTTGTGCCGTAAAATATTATTGGTAAACTTTGATACTTCTGTTTAAAATTGTATCTAAAATCATCTTTTTGCCTAACTCTGCAGAGCAAAGGCTCATGAATTATTTCATATCTGTAACTTATGCTGCATATGAATAATCGAGGAATTCATGTTTAATTATTTGTAAGTTAGGCAATTGTGTTGTTTTTAAAATTTAACCGTTTTATCAAACTCACCACATCATACGTAAATTTATAAATTGGCTTTGGCAATACTCTGAATCGGCTTACCACCACACTTCATCGTCTGATCACGAAAACTTATCGAAAACGTATCGGATGATTGAAAATTATAAGAGGAAGATAACGCGCAAATATAGAAAAGAAAAGTAGAATTTTAAACCCAAATATGACTGAGTGGGATTTTAAGGAGCTACGTGCTAAGCTGGACGTTATGGGCTTCACCCAAACATTACCAGTACTAGCAATTCCGCTGGTTGGAGCCATTTTTGGCGATCTAGTAAAAACCACGGAATGCCTCCGTGATACAAAAAAACAAGTTGTTGAGCTATTAGAGGTAGCTAATTGCAACGTTCTAATATGTGCATTCTTGAAAAATTTAGCTTTTTTTTCTTTATAGGAAAAAGCATGCTGGGAATTGGGAGTTGAGCCCTATAAATGTGACAATACGCGTTTACTGGCCGAGTGCAATGAGTTGCACTTGAAGATTCTTGAGGAGCGAGAAGGCTACGAACTTCGGCTTTGTGGTATGTAATTGAAGTAGCGTTACTTTGCGTACATATAAAAAAAATTCCCGCAGAGGCTGAGAGGCGAATACGCAATCTGCAGACTGACAGTGATCATTTGCAGAGCCATAATGCCCAACTCCAAGCTCAACTGGATACGTTCCTGTCAAAGCAAATAATCAATGCATCATCTGGTAAACGAACGCCAACTGAAGTGAAGAGTATGTATATGTAAAAATATATAAAGAGTATGTTACTGAATATAAGTTTATTCCATTAAAGAAAGAAAGCCATTTATTACAACCGTACGCTCAGGAGAAGTGCTGCCTCCTTCGAATGCTACAGCAACGATTCCTTCATTAAAATGTACAAAGTGTAATGCCGGAGTGATTCAAAGGTGTGCAGTTAGCTCTAAGGAAGGCGTTACCGCCCCGTCAGAAGAGGTGACCAGACTCGAAAACGAGCTAGCGAGTGCCGGGGAGCAACTAGAGTTTTTTAAACGGAAAGTGGAGTCGCGGAACCGGGAGATTCGACGATTGAATGGTTTGCTCTCAGGCGGCCGTCCGCCCGCAGTGCTAGCAAAGGAATGCTGCTACAAGGAAGTCGGCGCACTCTCAGAAGACATTGACCTCCTACAGCGCGAAAAGACGGAGCTGATGACGCAGGTTAGCGAGTATCAAGATAAGATGCACGATGCTATGCAGCGTGCGTTGCGTCTGGAGGAGGAAAAACAAAGACTGCAAACGAATCTGTGCGAGTTAAAGGAAGCTGCCTTGCAAGTAGAGGACCAAGCCAATTCTGAAATTGATGCGAAAGAAGCGGAGCTAAGGCAGCTTCAAATTGAGCTAGAGAAACTGCAGAAGCGTAACGATAAAAGATCCAAAGGACGACAAGCTGCCGGATACGATAAATCAACACTCCATGATGACAAACATATGCTCAATGAGAAGATTAATGTGTTGACGCGCCGTGAGGAAGAGCTACAAATAGTTATTGAAAAGCTTAAAAAGAAGCTACACAAAGTGGAGAGCAAAATGTCAGCTACGCAAAAAGAGCTGCAAGAACAGGTACAACAAAACAGTGTGACACTGGACGAGGAGAAAATTCGACTTAAGTCAGAGCGAGACTTCTTCCAGAAAGAGTATCTACGGCTCATGGGCAAATCTGGCTCGGACTCCGAGATTGCATTTTTACACGCTCAAATCAAATCAAAGGACGAGGAGCTACATGTCTTGCGCTCTGAGCTTTGCATGCTGTCAACGGCAAAGCTGCAGCTATCACCTCGAAAAAGTGAAAACATATCGCCACCCACGGTTAGCAGCACATATAGCCCTAGTAATCGCAGTGACTGCGTTCAGGCTGCGATTGCTCGGGTTGAGCGCGAGCGCGATTGTGCGCGTGTTGAGCTCGAGCGTATGCGTTGCGAGCGAGACACGCTGCGGGAGAAACAGTTGAGCAGCGTGCAACTTCACGCTGAGGAATTGCAGACGCTGCGCGTTCGTAATGAGGACTTGCAGAATCGCATACGCCAACTAGAGCGAGAGTATCGCGAGGTAAACTCGGCCCGCATTCCCACTGAAACACAAAATGCTCTCTTGAAAGAAGACGTAGCTGAGCTGAAAAAGCGGTTATCGGAGCTGCAGACCGATACAGAGAATTTGAGAAGGGAGAACGGGCAAATAACGTAAATGCTATGATTGTATTGAATTAATCTCTATGAAGTTTCAATTGTTGTATCTTTAATAGTTTGATAAACGAACAAAATGAACGCATTATAGCCGAATATCGAAGTAAGCTTATGCTAGCAGAGCGCCAAGTGCACAAGGCAGATGTGCGTGTCAGCACATTGGATTCTAGTCGCGAATCGAATCGCAATGAGGCGAATCAATTGCGTACCGAGATGGCCTCATTACGTCAGACTTATATTACCCTTGAACATGAGAAGGATTCACTAGTGGTAATGTGGATTGTGTATATTCAGTTTTTCTTAATTTAATGCATCATCTATTCATAGAACCAATTGGATAATAAAACTGAGAAGCTCTTCAAATTAGAGGTCGAGCTCAAAGATTGTAAGGATAAACGAAACGCACTGGAGCAAACGGTTAGAGAACTGGAGTCTAAAGTTAAGTATGTAATCAAAGACACATTAATTTAAGCAATGAAATCGGTCATAGTCGATTTCCGTGCCATACGTGGATTTACTTATAATATTTATTCATTTATTCATATACATATCTATAGTTCACTTAAACACTTATACAGTTGGGGTAATACATTCATGGCACAATCTCCCACCCTGGCGCCTTTTAAAGTCAAACTCTGTCCGCGAACGTTAGCCAAATATATCTAAGAACCACCTAAAAGGAAATGAAACGATTAAATCGAGAGATCTATTGTGAAACAGTACCGTAGGTCGTCCAGTAAAACAGATAATTAAAGACAAACAACAGGAAATTAACGCAAACCCATAGGCAGAGGATAGGTTAAGGGATTTCTGGCGCTGGGGTTTGAAGTGGGTGATTCAGTGAGGAAATTCGAGTTTCGACGCTCGATGGTTAAATACCTCGCTAGGCTTACGCTGGGTGCACTGCAGCTGTGCGTTCCGCCGTGATCTCTCTCGGTCGGCGTATAGCCTGGTCGGCACACACACTTGGCTCTGCTGGCATAGCCAAAGAGCGCAGTGCCATTGGTTGTTTGTGTTTTCAGCGGCTCCAGCCATTGGCCGGCGCCGCAAGGTCCTCGCGTGTAAAGCTTGTGGCACTGGCCACCTATTTCAACCATTCCGGGCGTCGCCTCGCAAAAGCTCTTCTCCTGATCACTGCTGGTTGAACACTGCTGGTCGAAGTTTGTAATGACGCCCGCACAACCGCAAATGCCGTTGTAAGAGATTCCATCTATAGATGGCCTTGCCGTAAAATCAAAGACTACCACTTGGTGCAGAGAGCACGGTCCCTGAGAACCGATCCTATAGCATGAGTCTTCCGCAGGGAAGTAGAGCCTATTTTTGCCGCAGAAATTGCGTACACACGAGGTTTGATTAACCAGAAACTCGTTGGCCTCACAAGGTCCGCGTGTGTATAGGCGATAGCACAGGCCGTCGGTCCATGGCACATATCCATCCTTGCACATGCACTCGGCATGGGGTACGACCTGCGAGTTCGGCCCTTGACTTGTCTCAATATCATCGGGTATGCGGAAGACATGGCCAGGAGGACAAGGACCTGGAGTGTCTAGAATAAATGTCGACATGAATTTATAGCATTTTGAACTTATTTTGTGTCGAAGCCCTACCAAGCTCGAAGCACATCTGATGTGGCGCGTGATAGTGGGGCAGATGTCGCTGGCAGTCACAGCGGCCGCCAGGCAGGAATAGGTGACCGGGCGTTGAGCAGGGTCCTATAGTGTAGTGTTCGTAGCAGGATTCCTCTAACGCATAATAGTATGGTTGCAGCTCCCCTCGCTGTTCACAGCGGCACTCGGCCAAGCCGTCATCGTTGCGTGCCAGCAGCTTTCCCCGAGTGCACGGACCCTTCGAGTATTTAGGGTAACATTTGCCGTCTTTTGGCCAGAACAGCATCCCATCCTCGCAATGAAGTGGGCGCTTACAGCTGCCCCAGCGATTGCCAGCTCTGAAACAGCATAATGTATGGAGGAGCGATCAAGTCGGAATCAAATGGCTTACCTCTTCGCTTGTTCTGGAACAGGTTGGAAGTACTCGCCGTGCGGACAGGGTCCGCGTTCATAGAGTTTGTGGCAAGCATCGGTGAGCGCACTTAGCGCCGTGCCCGGTGGGCAGCGACACTCGGCCGCGGGAACATTTTTCCTCTTAGCGCTTGTTGCCGTCGGACTGAGCTCCATAGTGTCCGGACAAGGATAGCCAAGCGTGAAGATCTTAAAGCATTTCTTTAGCGGCGTCCAGTAGAGAAGCTGCCAGCCGCCGGCCATGCTAGCGCATGGATTCTTTGCCGGGTCACTCCAGGGCGGGGGCACAATGCCGCCCAGTGCTTGGTGTTGTGTCAGGAGAAGCAGCAAATAGGTGAATATGCTGCTGCTTGCCTGCAGGGCTGCCCAGTAGACCAACAGCTTCCGGCGCTTCATTCGCATCGTATGCGGCTGTAATTGTCAATAATGATGAACTGGATTCAATTTGCCTATGTCACTTTTACTCTCAATGCTTTGGCTAGAGCCTATTCAAAGCGGCTTTGATCGCTCATTAAACCGCATGATTGATAAGTTTTCTATTGTGTGAGTTGGTGAATGGCCTAAAGCCATTAATTAAATGCTTTTTACTGCGCTTCGCAGGAGGCACGGGCAGGGGCAGAATGCTTGAAGCACTGAGACGCGGCCCTCCCAAATATAAAAGGCAAAACATTTGTTTGGATATGAGCTTTTAGCAGGTCCAAATTAAATTAGCCAACTCGCAGGCCGATGTGTTGTGTAGCAATATTGTTGATTCCGCGGCTTACAAAAATAACAAACTAAAAAAAAATTAAGCAAAAATAAAGCAAAACCAGTATGTGGTCGTGCGCTGTTAACCATGACCTAAATACTCATTTATCTTGACTTCTTTCTTCCATTTCCCCTTTCCCAGCCCTTGTTGCTCTGGTCAGTCGGCAGAAAAATTCTGTTGGCCAACGAGTGCCTAAAAGCGAAGCCGCATTTACATAATCGTCGTGCTTTGAAAACCTGCATGTGGTTTGTGACGAAACAAGTGGCAGAAGCAGCCAGTCAAGCGGCGCTGGGAAAACGGGCAATACTTTGCACTAATTCCCTAATTTTTTCCAACGGCTGCTTGCCCCGGGGCTGGGCTCTGCCGCGAATAAGCAACAAACAACACATCAAACGCGAACAGGCAACAACCAACAGACAACCGACATCAGCCAACACACAACAGCTGCAGCCTGAGCTATAAATAATGCATTAGGCTAACCACAGCTTGCGCTGCTTTGAGTTGTGTTGGGTTTCTGTCGTAACAGCTAACAGCAACAGGTTTCCTAATGCCGCAAATCAGTGTATTCTCTTTTATTTGGTCAACAAGAACACCGAGGCTGAACACTGAACACTGAACAATGGCAATTTCAGCCTGAACATCAATTATACTTAGATTTGTATGTATGTAGAGTCAAGATCTTTTGCATGTGTGTGTGTGTGTCTTGTTTGAAGCTCGTAAACAATTCTTGCTAATTTTCAGCATAGACTTCCTAACACGTATGCTCACCTTGGGTCTCGGATTTGTGTTTGATATGATATATATATATGATATATATCCGCCCCAAGCACTCGAATCCCGCGAGATCCCGCTCTGACACAAGCTGCAGTGGCGATTTTCGATTTGACTCCGATTTTGATTCGAAACCCAATGTCAATTCACACATGTAGCAGATCGGCGCGCAACGTAAAACCCGACCCGACACTTAACGCGACGCGACCATTCGCCTGCGCAGGTAACAGACGTCTGAGCGCCGCTTCGATGCGGCCAGCGCTAAGTCTGCGACAGGTAAACATACTATGCGTTGCTCTCTTACTATAACGCTCTCTTTGCGCCGCTTTGCTCTTGGTACTCGCTCTGCACTTAACAGAATTGGACATACAAATCTACGCTTCTTCTCTTAGGCAAACAAGATTTGTAAGATGGTTTTCAATCCTTCATATGTTCGCCGTCGTGGGAGTTCAGTCTTATGCTTAGTTCGTCAAATGCAAATGACTTCTGCCAGGCAATGCTGATTGGCATCGATGGTCGTCAGGTGTGTCTCTGGCTTTGGCTGGGGCTGGGGTTGGGGCTGGTCAGAAGCAAACCGGCTTGCAGGGTCGCGCGTTGTTCTTGAGTTTGAATTCGAATTGCGGATATGTGCGGACGTGCGTAGCTTCTAAATACGTGGTCCGCTCTTTCAATGGATAGCAAAGAGTGAGCACATAACATAAGCTAATCGGAGGTGGGTTAACCTACGTCTGTGCATAAGTCGGCTCTTTGCTGAGGTATTCCGGTTCGACCCTGTGACGGTAGCGACACCTCAATTGGCCGCCAACGCAACGTCTGTTTGTTTCTAGAGCTGATGTAAGCTAATTTTTCCCGAACACACACAAAAAGTATCTAAGAGCCAGCGGCTCTCTAAAGCCAACACTCGAATTGAAATCTGATTACAGCAATCTGACCGCAAGAACACGACAACGTGACTCGGAGTTGAATGAGACGTCGGCGGAAAGCAAAACACTGCGGCAGCAGATTGCGGCACTAAAAGTCAGTCGCGACGAAGCGATTGCGGAAAACGGGTGCGTATAAATAAATAATATTGGCCAATGCTCTGCTTCATAAGACATTAGTCTTACTGGTCCGCCAACCAAACTTTGCTAAACTTGTATTGGGTCCGACAATTAGCTAGTTTTTTGTGACTGTTTTCATTGTACTAAATGTGATTTGTTTGTGACTCAGCAGACGCCTCACGGACAAATTGAGTAATGCCCTGGCAGAAACGAGGACGCTGCAAAATAAGCTCAGTGAGTCGGAGCAGCAGGTGGCTAATATGAAACAGAAGCTATCTAAATATGTCCAGGAGGTGAAAAGAGCCGAAGATTTGCTTCTGGAAAAGGTATATTGCTCGACAATATGGTTTAATTAGTTCGTAAGGTAGAACGTGAATTGAACTTCGTGTTAACGTGCTAGGTACACTTTATCTTAAAGGAAAAGGAGCGCGAGGAATTGCTAGACTGCTATCACAACTTGACACAGGACCAAGTTCTCTTGGAGGGCAACAATCACAGCCTGGAGGTTGAGGCGAATGAATTCAAGTGAGTAGCTGATAAATATGAAGGTTCATTAGATTTACTAAACTCAAATCCTATGTGGAAAGGCGGCAAATCTGCGAACTGGAGTTTGAAGTACATTCACTCAAGGAGCAGCTGCATTGCCGACAGTGCACAATTGATGAGCTGGAGATGCAACTAACTGCCGCTCGTACTCGAATACGGTGCTTAGAGAGCAACGCGCGAGAGCAGAAAATAGAACTGGAGGTGCGAAAGGAGCTATGTGATAAACTGGATATAGAAAAAGAGAAGTTAAATGCCGAGCTCAACGAATTAAATGAAATTCGCAATAAGGTAAGCTGATGTGTGTTGGAGGTTGGCTACAATTATAATTTTCATATTTATTTAGTAATTTAGTAAAACTAACAAAACTCTAATTACAGCTGGATAAAGAGTGCGAAAAACTGCGTGCCGAATTACAGCAAAAGTCTGAATTAAATCATATAAACACTGAGACTAGAGAGCAACTGTTGGATCGCATCCGCGGCGAGCGGCAGCGCCAAGATGAGGCAGAGGTAACCACGAACTGCGAGATGGAGCGACTGCGGCAGTTACATGCAAAGACACTGGTATTTATATACTTAATCGAAAAGCCTAATTACATTTTTAGTAAGCATTTTGTTTGACTCATTGAAAACAGACAGAGCTTCAAGAAGAGCGGGATCGTTGTCACAAACAGGAACGGCTTGCTAATGAGTACGAGCAGCAGGTTCGGGAATTACGCAAGAATTTGACTGAGGATCGCTTCTGTCAGGCGCGCACAAGGGAAATCACCCCCAGGGTTCAAGAAGAACCGATGTAAAATTGTATTGGTTATTATTTCATCTTTGTAGTTGACAAATTTTTTACGTTTCAGTGTGTCATTAATGAATTTACAACACGACCCTAACGACTAATGTAATGATTTCAATATCTAAAACTGAATAATTAAGAATTAGTATCGATTATCAATCGATTCTTTATAGGATATCGGATGATAATGTTAAGCTTTATGTGTCATAATAACAATGTTTAGGCGATACCAAAATATGCATTTGATAACTAGACTAAATTCAAAACAAATACAAAATTCCAATTTAACTTTCATGATTTCATAAATTGAATGTGGAGAGCCAAACGTCCTCAGTTCACTTAAATCAGATATTTGTTCGCCTACACTTGGCAACCAGCTTGAGGTATTTATTGTACATACAGGGACATCCAGTAAAGGGCGGTATATAATCGCGATTGCTGTCATTGAGGGTTGAACACTCGTCCTCATAGTTGGACTCGTTGCATGTAAACTCTGTGTTTGTTGATCCTGAAAACGGCCCATATTATACTTGGATTTCATTGCATGTTTCGTACTTACTGTGGGAATCTAATTGATCATCGTCTGTATCATCGTTATCATCATCCGGCTTTTGAGCACCCGCTGTGTCACGTTCAATGGATAGCTTGGACAATCGCTCCCAATCGACGGCGCTACGGTTGCCATGTCCGCTTTCATCTCGAAACGTCACTGAACGCCTACGCTTTTCCCGAACACATTGTTCTGTGCAAAAGGAATTTCCATTTTGACTCATCGAGGGTCCGCATGGCTCCTCGCAGAGGTCGAAGGGTTGAGGACGTTGCTCTGTCTTAGCTAAGTTGTGGACAATAGGCAGATATTTATGGCGTTTTTTAACGGCGCCGTTATAATTGATAGCATTTTTAGTACTTTCAAAAGTATTGTCATCCTGTGGGGCCTGATTATTTGGTTCCGTATATTGTGGCAAACTCTGATAATCGGAACGAATTGAGACAGTCGGAAAGTTGTTCTGGCCTGGTTCTAGGTCTATGTAGTTGCCGTCACTATGATTTGGGGTTGCGGGTAAGGCTTTTTCTTTAGTAGATGGGTTATTTTCCAATTTATTAGTGTGAGTGTCGACACGTTTGTGCTGGATCATTGCCTTGTAATTCTCGATCATTCTTCGGTTTCCCTCTTTTCTTCTTAATGTGTGCCAAGGAATAAAATTTCTACCTGAGCTTACTGATGTGATTATCTGCAACTTGTCAATCTTAGATGCATGTCTTGCTGAGCAACTGGTACGACCCTTTTGTTGTTTATTTCCATGAGCTTTCTGCTTCTTATGGGATATGGCTCATAAGAATATGAAACACTTTTTTGTAGCATTAGTATACCTACCGTATCATATTTACTGAAAGTTGTATCTTCTCGAAAAGTTGACGCTTTTTCCCTCTGGTTCGCGTTTATTTTTCCCCACTCCGCACCGTCTCGAATATCGGTTTGGGTTTCCTGTACTTGGGATTGTGATGGCCTAGGGTTTCTGGGGGACGTTTGGCTAGATTGGTTGCTTATTAAGGTTGTTAATAGCTGCGGATGATTCAATTGAATATCCGCTTGGGCTTCTTTGGTCCGGTGAAGCTGAGACCTGTCGCTCAAGACTGCGCGATCAATCGTTATTTGATTTTTAGAGGATGCTTGGCAAGATTGGCTAGTGATGTGATGCTGTGATGTGGAATTGGATGGTAGATTCAATTGATTATCCGTTTGAGTTTCTTCCATGGGAGATCTGTCGCTCATGACCGGCTTGGCAGGTGGCCAAATCAAACGAACGTTCTTGTCATGCGAATCGGGAAAACCGGGTGCAGAAAATTCATGTATTATTGGCGATAGCATCATTGGAGCATTACTTCGTTTAACGGACAGATTCTTAAGCATATGACTTTTACTTTGGTCAATATTGTTTTGAGCTATTAGCTGCACGTTTCCAATTGCATTTGTTGCGTGTTTTACTAATGGTGCTTGATTAACACCGTCCTCAGCTCTCTCCGGCGGGATTAGGTTAGTAACTGTATTCGGATGCGGATTTGTAGAAGGATCAATTTCTTTAACATATGATGCAGACAATCTAGCATCATTTCCATTTTCTACTGGTAACCTTGTGTATGTGGGGCAAGTTTCAAGCTCCGAATTGTTTTGGCTTGAATCTTTGTTGGCAGTTTTCTTATGTTCCGTCTTGTACATCTCCATATATTCACGGTGCATGCGCAACTTCTCAGCATTTATATCGGCGACTTCCCTAGGTTTCTTTTTCACTGACCCGTATATTTTAACGGTCATTTTGTCTTTAGCTATTCCACTTTCGTTCAACTCAGGTCTCTGCTGCCTAAAAGGAAGTTTCATTATTTTATCTGAGCTCTTAGGGGGGCTTTCGCTTTTCCCCTTTTCTTTCCCACCTGCCTGTATGGGCTGTTTTGGTGTAAATTGGAATTTAGATAGTGGAATTTCTTTAGTATTTACAGCACGAGTTACAGTGGCTACGGGATCTGGATACCAGTTGCTACAAAAATCCGACGTATTTAAATCCGTTGTACGCTTACAAAAGGGATTTCTGGGACAGTTGCATGTGTACATTTCGCAGCCATTCCTTTGTGGAACTAGCATGTCTAGCTTTTGGTAAAGTGCCCCAACTGGATACTGATAGCACGGGTTGGATGAATACGGCATGGGCACAGCTATAGCTCTCGACATACAAGTTATACAACTAGCATTGCTAAGATAGCATTGTCGACAGTCTGACATGCGTATGGGACATGCAGTTCCCTGGTGACAGTAGTCCCTTTGGTAGATTGAGTATGCTCCTGGTCGTGTATCGCAGCATCCATTGTTGCAACCACCGCACATGCGTGCAATGGTCTCATCGGGTGATTCAACTTGTGCACTATCAGCGCCTGGCTCTGGCTTTAAGTGGGGCTCGACGCTGCTGCTCGACTGTGGCGAGGATACTATGCGCATGGTGCGGAGACACGGGGCTTTATTTAGAGTCTTTGGGGATCCGATTTCCAAGTTGACCACCTCTTGCCATTTGGCTGCTATTGAACTATCGGGAAAGTTGAGCCCCTCGTACTTTCCAGTTAATATGTGAGCAGTTCTTTCAGGATTTCCCTTAGTGTCTTTTAAAAACGACTTACGGAAGTTCTTTAGTTTTCCTATTTCACTTTCAATCTTTTTGTGCAATGCATCCACCTGCACACTGGTCGATATTATCTTGTTATCCTTGCTGGAAGATGAGGTCCGTCGAGATTTCTCTGCATGATCGCGTCCAAAGAGTTCGCGAACCTGGGTTTGTGTATTCTTAATATACATATCGCCGCGACCCTCAATAGAAATGCGTTGTTTTCTCTCTAGTACAAACCCTTTACCTAAGAATTTATGGTTGACTTTGAGTTCGAAAATATAGTTAGGGCATCTCGATATTAGAACATACCCAACCCTTTTTGTTTGGTATCATTTTTTACGTCCATAACGGTTTCTGTAAACATGAGATATAATACAAATAATTGTATAAATATAAGTATAATTTTTGTTGTGTTTTCAAATTGTGAAATATAACGATGATCAAAAGTTAGTAAATTTTGAAATTTGTATATGTCTAACCTGCCTTGTCGGATCGATCGACCTTAATAGTTGACGTTGCCAATGCTCAACATAGCTTGCTAACTGAGAAGTAAATCTTGAGCAAAAGAACGGAACTCTTATCGTATGATATTATAAACTTCAAAAAGCTCCAACATATTGTTTGAAAAGAACGAATATAACGAGGAATTCAAGTTTTCATTTGATTGTTGCTAGAATTTTTTGACGTCTTAGAAACGTCGAATATTTGCTGTCATGAGTGCGTTAGATACGACACAAACCATTTTCAATTTTCTTGTGCAGAGGTAGAAACTTGCTAAGTGCTTTCTTATTTGATTTTCAAATACCATAGATGGCGCTTTAGTCTCGACAAATACTATTATTTCCATATACGTTATTGCACTGCTTGACGTACTTTTTCGACCATCCAAAGAGTTGAAGCATCTCGGATATACTAAATTAACCAATATCATAAAATTTTAATTGTAAAACCGAATATCAAATAAATTAATTATTTATGTTTTTTATGTTGGCTGCAAGCAGTCATTTGCAACAGTTAATTCAGTCACTCGTTGATTTAATCTGATTTGATCTGATGGTACTTCCACATACAAATATTTTGATAATTCGACATTTATTATTAGACAAGTTGTAATCTAATATATTTTTAAATTTATTTCTAAATAGTGTACTGAATAGTTTAAAAAATGTAGTTTGAATGTGCCTCTATTATTGGAGAATACCACTAAAGCTTTTACTTAATCAATTATTGTTCAATAGGTAGAATTGAAATAAAAGGAAGCAGAGCTAGCCTAATTAAGGTTTTATGAAAATATTGGTTTCAAAGGTAAGGCAGTGGTATAATATGTTAATCACACTCGAAAAAGGCAGAGTCTATAGGTTTCGGGTGTGCATGAGAAATATATTTCAAAGCATATATATCTATATGTTGTTAAACTCGTTTTCTCTCTGAAATTATGTTATATTCGCTTTAAGGAGGAGAATGAACATGGGTTTTAATCTTAAATTTTTATTCAATTTTTTGCCGGGTAATGTTAAAAAGTATTAAGCAAGTGCTGGAATATGTACTTTAACGTGAAATGAAATTTGATCACTTGTTTTTCAGAGGCTGCACCACTGTGCGTGGCCTATTCACTCTGCGCTTGCTGCTGGCTGCTTGCTGCTTGCTGCTTGCTGCTTGCCGCACGCATGAAGATTAAGAGCCAATTCATTCAGTTGTCGACTGTCAGCCAACGCGCTCGCGGTTGTTGTGTGCTCTCGGCTCTCGGCTCTCGGCTCTCGGCTCTCGGCGCTGTACTACAGACTGCGTTTGATTATTGCCGTTAATATGGCGATGGTTTGCTGAACAGTATAAAACATATCAATCCTCAATATCGGTAAAGAGCTCCAAGGAAATGTGTCGCTATATCTACTATAAGCGAGTACAAGTGTTTGCAAAGATACAGAGAGATGCTGGCGTTAAGTGTTTTGAGCACGCGGTTGCTTATTATATTAAAAAAGTTCGCCCGTTGAAGTGTCTTTGCCTCGGCTGTGCATCCTCCCGTGTGCTTTCGAAAAGTAGCGCCTTTTGTAGTGACAGTTGGTTGGTGTGCATTGTTCCCTTCCACATATGTGTGCGTGTGTGTGTGTGTGTGTAACCAAATCAAAGCTGGAACCCGCCAGGGACAGAAACAGAGACAAAGACAGAGATCGGGAGAGTGACAGTTGGGCCACCCGTCACTCGGTTTCATGACATTTCACTGTATGCTCGCTGCATATGAGTTAATATTTGTCTAGTTTTGTGTGCGTTTCCCTTTTGTCTTTTGACTTCTGAGATCTTTGTGCTTTGTCAGCGGCTCATCGCCAGCATCCTGTCGCCTTTGTGTGAGAGCTTACAACAAATAGCTCCACTTACACACACTCGCAGAGTGGAACCCTTTAGCAGCGTGTAATGCACTGTGACTGTGTGTGCGCGAATGCGTGTGTGTGAGTGTTTGTGCATCTAGTAAGTGGGTGGTTCCATTGCGCCGTAAAATATGCAATTAGAAGGACATCAAAGCATTATACCGCCAGCATTGAAGTACCAAGCCCCATCATTAGTGCGCAGCCGTGTGTACGTACCAAGTATGAAGTATGTCAGTTTTTCAGTTTCAGTTTGTCAGTCTGTTTAAAGGCCTGCCCGAAGTCCTCTGTGCTTTCACATAATTTGTGTATATTCTAAAAATGTTTTTAATTTTGTATTTTTTTGTTTTTCGTGTGCTCACTTTTGATCAAATGTGGGCGACTCTGCCGCTGCCCCTTCTGACAAGTCGCTTTATGCTTTGCCGTTATTCTTTAACACTTGCAAACGGGCGAACGCGAGGTCAATTGGCTTAATTATTGTGTGACAGGGCCTGAGGAGATGAGGGGGGCATGCGGACGAGGGGTTCTATTTTCAGTGATGTTTGTATTCTTTCGGGAGCCCAGCCCCGTCCAGTTCAGTCCAGTCCAGTTGAAACGCTTATACATTTGTGTTGCCAATGCATTGCTTAAAGTTGCCATCGCATTATATTTAGTAGACGCATTCTCCACTATCTAAAACCAGACAATCATTTCAGGCGGTAGCCTCATTGAATATGTTTACATATATAGGCGTACCACTCCACATTTACGTAAGCGGACGCGTTCTCCGGCCAGGCAACGGAATAGATAGCCATCGAACGGGCGCTCGCCAGTGAACTACTCGCGGTGACATCCGTTTCCTTCAGCCGATAAACAAATGGTTGCGAAATGCATTTACGACAAGGACGTTAAGGGCAACCACAGAAGCGCTTATCAGCAGCAAACAAACAAAAACCACAAAATACGGAACTCCAAATAAATTTCATAAAAAATGAGGCTCTCTTGCCTGTTCCTAGGCATTGCTCTTTTAACGCTAAGTGTCAGGGCACTAAAACTGGAGCAACAGCAGCAACATCAGCAGCAGCAGCAGAAGGATTTGAGCCACAGTAGGTGGGACGACCACTTGCATACGGATCTTCGTCCACATCGACGCAATAAAATCTCCGACTCCAGAACCCGGACTCAGATGCGAAGGGAGAAAAACAGGCGACCCACCACCAGCCAGGAGGAGGCGGATGAGGAGGAGGGAACCGACTGGATCGACGTGGATATCAGCGATGGTGATGACCATCCCAAACTGGCTCTGCATCTTGCCACAGCGATCTCTGCTCCCCATGGTAAGTCGACAGCGCCTTATCAGTGCAACTATAGTGTGAATGGTTGCTCGATGACCCTTTTCCCGCTCGGAGCTTCAAACGAAACGGCTTATCAGCTGCTTGAGTCCGCACTGCCAGCTATTCATTGACTCAAATCTGGCCGATGACTTATAGCTCTGGCATTCTCAGTCACAAACAATAATACAGTGGATCATCCATAAACCCATTCAGTAGACCGAAAATCTCACTCAAATTGCCTTCTGCGTAGTACATTTTCCACATAGTAAATCTCTCAGTTTTCTTTTGAATTCTACAGCACGTATTGCACTTTGCTTAAATCTGTTAACTATCAAAATGTAGTTTTGGTTAATAGAGCCTCCCATAGTCATACCTTGATTGTTCTTTGAACGTCTAACGCTTAGAATAGGTAAAATGTTTGAAAAATATTTAAAACTGTTGCCCAATGTCAGAGAAATTCGATTAAATTTGATGAAAGACATACAAAGATCTTGGAATGATATATGCCGTACATATCTACATATACCCATATACATATATCACTATTCAAATATGCCATGTGAATGTATCTCATCCGCTAGCCTAATCAAAGGCAATGTACAAGAGAGAATGAAATGTTTTAATTGAAAGTGCCCGATGATGAGTAACTATAAGCGTGCATGCGAGTATGTATGTATATATGTTGCGTATGTATATGTGTCGAAAAGCAGTGGCGTATTCTACAGTCAACGGGGGACTGTTTATTCATCGAATGTTTCGCATATGCCTTTATTAAATGTTTCAATACCACAAATTATTATTACTAACTGAATTCGAGAAATAGAAATATGGTTATAATAAAATATAATAATAGTTGGTAATCAAGCATAAGATGATTTCAAAACGTATCTTACTGGCATAATATAATTTTGTCAATTCTTTATAAAATGATATTTTATAAAATGCAAAAAATTCAAGTGAAGATTCTTTGTATTATCTCTGGTGCCTCTATAGTATAAAACGTTTACAGCCATCATAGAATCACGTTGGACCGCGCGTGCGCCACTGTCTGAGTGTCGTGTGTGAATCCAAATTGAAACTGTTTTAAAGCCTTATGTATTTAAACTACGTTAGAAACGGCTGCTGGCGCCAGCATATTCCACATACATATAAATGCCGCTTCATCCCGAGCTTCTGGAACTGGAGCTCGAACGCAACAGGGGTCGTCCTTACCAAACCACTTGCCATCAACACCAACACTTAATTTGCGCTCTGAAGTGAATAATGGCGAGTGTGTGATAGGTTTGTTAGATTTCCAATGAAATGTGATTTTATGGGCTGCACATATTTGTCGGTGGCGGTGCTTAGCTGGTTGCCGCTTGCAATTGCGAAAAGGGCTCTGCCCATGGGTGGACAGGCCCTGGGCTTACGCCTCGCATGCGAATGCAGTTGAGTGTCGGCATCGGCATTGTCATTGGCATTATCAATTCATTGACAATCATTAGAATCGCTTTGCATACTAATAAATTCCGAGTGCCGGCGAGCTGTTCACATTTATTGTTTATTTGTTTGACTTGTCCATAATAAATGGTAGTAAAACGATTATTTATGAATGCGTTTTGAATAAAAGATGATCCATCCTCTACGGTGGCCATGCCCCAACGTGGCAGGTTGATTCTCGTCCCCGCCTGCGGTAAATCGTGGCAAATCTGAGCTCTATAAATTAGTAGCGGCATTTGACAGGCCTGCTTGTGTACCGAGATATACGAAAATTAGCTAAAGTATCTGCTATTGAGACGTTTCCTTTATTTATAGGCTACATCTGCCTCAGTGCTTGGGTGCTTCGGCCTGTGTTGACAGCTTCTAAGATCATTGGCCACACTCTGCCTCTGACTATGACTATGACAGACGCCGCGCGAAGACTGCGCAACTTTGCAACTGTAATAAAAATAGCACTTGAGGCAGGAAAAATACAAATAGAATAGAAATAAGCCGAACCGAACGAATCGCTGACTAAGGGATACCCTGTATCATCGGATCAAACAAACAACTCGTCTTTCACATATGTATGCACTAGTAGGTACATATGTACGCAGATGAGTTCATCTATGCATACTCTATTAGTGTATTTAGGGTATAAACATTAAATGTTCCCTATCAAATGAGAATTGTTCACAGACCTTACGAGCAACGATTCACGCATTTCAATTGTTAAAAAGCTGTTTTGGAATCAAAATAAAAATGGAATGGCGAAAGAGCGCGTGGAAATCAAAAATGATTTCCCAAGACTTCAAAGTGAATGCTCTAAAATTAGTCATAAACCAAAAACTGTCGCACTCGACTGGCAAAATAGAGGGGCATGCCAAAAATACGGGAGGCAGACGAGCTGCCGGGATGGGGAAACTCGAGGAACTTGTGCCCACAGCAATTGCACACACTTAATTAATGAGTTGTGCTTTTGATGTTTTGGGAACTTGAGCAGCTGGCCCCATCTCTGCTGGGACTGAGTTGAAATCCCTGCCCGCCCCTCACAGTCGTCTGCCTAAGAGCATGTGACAAAAGCGACATTTTTCACGCAACCAACGAAACTCTTTGAGCCCGCTCCAGGGCGACTGCAAGTGCAACTGTCTCTGGGCTGTTGGGACGGATGGCTAGGGTGAGGCATGTGGCGCACATGTTGCTCGCCAAAGTTCACCACCCAATGAGAAATCGCTAAATGATGCCAGCCATGGCAATCTAAGCGGCAAGTACTTAATAAGAGATCACTCAGGCTACTTATGGGCAATGCGCACATGCAACATCTACTCGCATGTGCTGCATGCATATATGTATGTACGTATATGCAATCAGCACCTCTCTGGGTATTTGCATAGATAAGATGGGCAATCGGTGTGAATCGAACTAATTGTGCTTGGGTATTACGAAAGTCATCCACCAGAACGACAACGACAACGACAACGACAACGATAACGACAAAAACAACAACAACAACAACAACAGCGAAAGCAACAGTGACAGAACGAAATTGTGCTGCATGTATCTGCTGTCTCAGATATAAAAAAATGTGCAAAAGCAGAGGCTGCAAATCAGCGAATTCGCGAGCTTTGCCGATTCCCAAAAACTTATGGTATACATTGAATATAAACTCATTCGTATGTTTATCGAATGAGACCAGACTGCATTAAATAGCTACTTAATTAATTACGTTTATCGGAGAGGATAGAAGATAAAACCGAGAAGTTTGCTGTAGTAGTTACCTGATCATATTTTATATATTCATAGGCAACATAAAAGGGTGCTCGAGTTTGGTGTTTAGCCAATCGCAATTGAATTAATCATTCTAACTGATTTGTATTTGAATTGTATATTTGCAGATATTTTCACGTGCTGCAACCAGGTCTTTGGCTCATGTCGCACAGCATGCGAGAACGTAAGTACCCGGGATCGATGGCCCTGCCTCGCTATGCTTATGTATGTATATATGTATGATATATATTGTATGTTCGCCTCGGTAAGGTTCAACAAATGCCTGGCTTTTACATGAGTGTCTTGTGACACAGGTTGAATACATTATGTGAAAGAAAGATCCGTTGATAAGGCGAGAGACTACTGTGTCCGAACACTTCCTGGTATTTATACCTATCGCAACGAGCTGCATACTAAACCAAGCGCCAGCCTGTTATAAATAAAAGTTATTAGAATGCATTGTGCGCGACGGGCTCAGAAAATTATTATGACAGCCAATTCGTGTCTTCAAGAAAGAACTTTGACAACTTCCGTTGCTGCTGATGTTGTTGTTGTTAATGCTGCAGCCTTGTCCCGAATGGAAATCCAGGCGCGAGTAAGTAGCTAATATCGCAGAGACAGCTCAGATTCGAGCAATTACATTGTTAATTAGCATGAGCCACAAACAGGTAATCAACAATCAACGACCAACTCAACCTGTTTGCCACTAAAACCCATTCATAAGTTTAAGCATTGGAGTAAAAACAAGGAGCGAACAGCAACGGTAAAGTGAATATATAATACTCTAGCAGAGAGAAAAACTGACTAACCGTGTCATGCTAAGATCATATTCACATAGGGATTAAATCTCTAAAGTTCCAGAATAAACAAGGACCAGAAGTTAATCCGAATTGATCAAAAACCTCTAGTTATAGTGGTCTTTATTTTAGGTATTTTAAATACTTCGATAGCTGAATAATATTGAATTATTTTTTTCGGAGAACTATTTGGAATTATTTAAGATAAAGAATTGGATATAACCTAATAAAAACCGACTACATGATGATTCTACCTATTCTATACCGCATTTAGAAAGAGCTCTCTTAATAGTTGCATCGAGATATTTCATGGTATTGTTTCATGTTTCATAAGTGGGTTTCAAAAGTCAGTAAAATGTTATTAGAGGCGCATATATTTATGACATTTATGACGTTGAGTGATTATATATATTATATATTTCTATATATATGTATGTATATAATTATACATTTGATGTAGTAATATACACGGGAAAGAGCATCCCTAAGACCACATATGAATTTCTGTTTCTGTGTGAGTGTCTGCGAGAGTTGCACACAGAGCCAGTTACCTGTGCTGTTGGGATTGTCGTTGGTATTTTCTGCCTTGCCCCGCACTAGAGTCGACCCGCAATCAAACTACTGACATCATTTAACTTTGTAATCATAACAATTTCTAAAACCAATTAGTTTCTGCAACAGTTTCTCGTTTGCTGCAGAGAATGGCTCGAGCTTGAGTTTTTCATTTATGAATGCAAATGAAGGCATTAAATCTTTGCTTAAATTGAATCCGACAAAATGACAGCAAAAGGATAATACCTGTTGCCAGACCGGTTTAGCGCATTGTGTGCAGCAGAGTATCAGCAGCAGCACATCGAATGGAAACCAGAAACCCCAACTGAAACCGAAGAGAGAACTCAAATCTACCCAAAAAACGTGTGAAAAGTCGAGCCAGATTGCATCTAGCTGATAATTTCTCATATTATTGCTATTGACAAAATAACCCTCTTCAAGACTGATGAAGGCGTGGCCAGGCAATAATCGTTTAAAGTGCGTCTATCTAGATGCAAACATCTCTGAAAGACGTCGGACCTTGATTGTACCTTACACTCATTGTAATTGTATATATTGTTTATATATATTGTATAGGAAGCTTGTAACAGAAAGGCGTGCTCCGATCTAGAGACATATGCCCGAAGCAAGTTGGCCAATGGATACGATGTATGTAGATTATGAATAGTGAGATGACTGAGAGAGTGAACGGATAGGCGTTTTGTATCTTTAATAGACATCAACGGACTCAGATTACTACGGCAGATAAGCGGGCCAGATAATTTGTTGCTCCGTATTGAAATATTCTCGCCTTATTTATGAGGCGCTGGCTTGCCCTCACATCTCGAATGTAACATAATACACGTGATGTGCGAAAGACAATGAAAGCGCTCAAATAAAGTGCAGGGTATAACGTCACATTTTGGAAGTGATAAATGTTCCATGACGGAGATAGTATTTAATATATTGATATAATGGAACAATAAAAAATAATATATAAAAAGTATTAATGTTACCATATATTGTTTGATGGAGCAATTCGAGCTGAGGATAAAGTATATTAATTCAGAAATGTAAGAGGGAGATTACAAAAGAAGAACAAAGAATTTAAGCGAACAATCAGACAATAGTTAATATAGCGATATATTCAAATACGAAGCTTCTTAGGAGTGGCGTTGACAATGTTAATAAAATAATGGATATGTAATTATAAGAGGAAAATAACAGATAGCGTTGGAGATTGGCGAAAATCAAGACCCATACAGAATGACCTGAAACAGAAACGGCGAAAGACGATCAACAGAACAGTAGAAGGGCTTGTATACTTACGGATCTTAAATCGAAGATAGGTCATATAAAACTGACAAACATCGGATCGATAACACCCAGAAATTACGGATTTCCAAAGTAAGATGTTTCACAGCGGGCATGGCTTATGCAAATATGAGTTTATTAACTTGTAAAAATCCGTTTTAAACTATTGAAACAGATTGATGTGACATTAAGAGCGAATCGGAGTATACTGTGACACTTAGCAATTAGGTTAGGAAAATTCACGAACAAATAATTTACGAATAGATACATATATAATAATATTGAAAATGTATTGATGATATGAGAAAATGTTGATCAGAATTGAGGACCTTTGAGAATTAATGCAAAAGAAGGATCTGGTTCCACTGAACCTAAACAAGAACAGAATACATATACATATATATGTTTATTCTAATATTTAATATAGTCTTGACAGTAAATACATATGGACTATTTACTTTCAGATATCTTTGATTCAATTGGAGTCTACCAATGCACGCGAGGAGCCACGCACGGAATTGAGAAAGTATTGTGAGGTGCATCAACTAGATTTTTGGAGCTGTGTGAATCGCACACTTGAAGGTGAGTGAGATGGCAGTGTTTCCAGTACAAAGAGTGTTTCCTAAATGGCATTTACAGCGGTTGACAGAGGTAAATCATGGTCCGGCCGTCGATGCTGCCAAGTGGCCGTTCTACCAAAGTGCAAAAACTCCTGCGCAACTGCGGCGGCCAGCAACGAGCTGATTGAAGTCTGCCGGCGCAGCGATGAGCAAGTGCTCTACGATTGCTTTGAGCACCAGGAGGCAGCTGACAGTTGCTGTGGGAAGGCGCGCACCTCTGAGTGCCTGCAGGTAATTAATATGCAATAAATAAGACGCAATGCCTCTACTAATTGTGGTGTACAGTGCAGTTTCGCTTGGGTAGGGCAATAGGGTTCGGTTTATTATAGATCGTTTTTTATACTCTGAACCCATTGAAAATGGGAATTCGGCGTAAAACTGTATCTCCAAGATCTAGACTGCTAAAATTGTAACGTAAAACTGCACGTGAGCTAATGTTATGATTTTATCACTAACCAGAGAACACATAGGCCGGACACGTAAAGCAAAGCGTTTTGCACACTTATTTTCAAGCATTGGTTCCCAGACCGTTCGTATTT